CCTTTTTTTTTTTTTTTTTCTCTTTCCCTCCTTGCCCCCTTGTTTTATACCGGCTTCAGCTTGTAGAAGAGCAGCGTGTACAGCATTTGCAGAGCTTTCGCCAAGCTTGGTTGACATTTCTTAAAAAAACCAGCTCCGGTTTGGGAGGAATATAGAAGGGATAGCTGACTGTTCTTGTAAAGCGGCTGCAAGCTTGGGCACTACTTGAAGCTTGTTGGAATACTTCCAGTTGCTTGGTTAGGCTCACACCTGCACGAGACGTGCGACCCTGTACAATGCAGGCGGCAATTGCAGAACAAAAGGTTCAAGTACCTTCTGTTTATGATACTCGACGCACGGCTGTTTTAGCCATGATCGTGTTCGGAAGCACGGGTGGAATGGCGGTGGGAAACCGCGCGATACACCTGGCGCAACTGTGGTGCCATTAGAAAATAATGGTACCCACAACGCGATCGGTTCACATCTTGGCGACTCCTGACCACGCAGCAATCTGTGCGGAATCGTGCACGATTGCCGCGCGGTGAGGCGTCACCTGGGTGTGCACCTAGCCTTAAGTGACGGTCGTTGGGATCTGTGTTTTTAGCATTCCCAAACTGGAATTGAGGAAATATTTAAAGGCTTCAACAAAGCTGCCCCAAGCTCGTCAAGCTTGATGTGCTCACTGCTCCGATACAAGCTAAAGCCTGTATGAATTAGGCCCAAAAGAAGTTGTAGTTGCCACTTTATGGAAAAGCAGAGGGAATAATAGTGGGGGCATTGGCCTTGGCAGGCAATAGATTCTGGTTGCTGCCGGATTGGCTAGCAGAGGCACCTTGAAAATGAGCTCAAGATGAAGGCGCTCACTCCCCCTTCATACTTGCAATGCGTTGCAGTAATGGGCTGCCAACTTGCAAAGTAAGACCTGTAGCATTTTATTTTTAACACTGCACAGGTCTGTGGAAACCTCTTGCACTTGTGTGTTGGGGTGCCACTCGTAATGAATGCAGAGAGTGCTGCGTTTTGCAGTAATGCACAATTAGTGTTTTACTGCACGTTACCACAACGCATAGATATAAAAGGGCCTCTAAGGAAAGGCCCATTGGAACCAGTATTGAAATGCCTGCTTGCAGCTGAACAACACCTAGAACCTTGTTATTTTTTTTTAATCTGCCCATTAACCATACAGCTAGTTGTGATCTTTAGTCAGGTGTCTTTAAATAGAACCTCCAACCCGAAACAGATCTCTTTATTTTGGGTGAGTTCACTGCTGTCCAGTTGGCCCCCACATAACCCTTTTCCCTGTATAGGTTGACATACTAAGAATTCCGCTACACTGAGCTAATGTGGCCATGAGCCCGGGTTCTGTATCCACTAGAGGGCACAGAACACAGACTGTAGTGGTTTCTCTATAGAGAGGGAACGAGCAGTATGGTGGCACAGATCGCTTTGTCTTTAGCCTCAGGTTTATATTGGTGGAGGAGGAGGTCTCTCTGTTGCCGGCCCAGACAGCAGCGAGGACTCGGGGTGTGATCAGTTTCCGCCTTTTTCTCCCGTGGAGTTGCTCTTTACACAAGTGAAAGCGTTTGGCTTTCAGAACATCTTATGTTGCACCATTTTCCATCATTTCACAGCCACACCTTTGACCTTTAAATTCTCATGCTAAAGTTTTCCCATGCAGTTTTTTTTTGTTGGTATTCCAATACTGAATTATGATTTATACACGTAATGGGACAATATTGTCAATTTGATTTTTGTGTGACAAGTTGGTTCAAGTATTTTGTGTGCATATGGTTCTTTTATCTTCATATACATTGTTAAATATTACTTTTTTTTTTTCTCTCTTTTGTGTGAACATCTATATTTCCTGCCTCACAACCTTTTTTTTTTTTTTTCTGCACATCATAAAGTCCTAATGTTCTATTTGTTCCTGTTATGTGGACTTGCATTATTCTCTAGTGCCTCAGATGTGGGAGTCTGAAGCTATGAATCTGTATTGAGTAGGCAAGGCTTACTCTTCCAACCCCGGAGAAGAAAGCTCCCCTGCTGATTATTATTCAGCTCTTCACTTCCCTGTCTTCCATTGATTTATAGAAGTAATATCACTGACAGGCAGATCTTCACCCCACTTTACAGAAGATTTCAGATCTGTGCATCTTAGCTCCTGTAACACTTAGGCAACATCCTGAAGCGGTAGCCTGCAGAACATGCTCCTTTGTTAGCCAGGAAAGCCTCTTCAGTGAGTTCCCCCGGTTCCCGCTTTCAGTTTGTCTTGAAGGACACAATCTCAGGCCTAAGCCTCATCCCATTGCCTCTTTGTAACGTCATGGGTCGGGAACGATAGGCAGGTCAGACGTGGCTCTATAAGTGTGGAAGTCGAAGCTTTCTTAATAAAGCAAATTTGAGGCTCAAAGTCACACACAGAAAATAACGTTTAGCAGGATTTTGTTTTTTTTTAGGCACGTGTATAATGGCCGACAGGTTTGCTGGAATCACACGTGTTCTCGGTGGTTGGCCGGCCTGTTATGTTAGTAATGCTTCAACCTTTTTCCATATCCTCCTATTTCCCCCACTTACTCTTTTACGACCTCATCCTGTTTGTAATAATAAACTGCATTATCTACCCTACGCTTCCCTTTCTGTTAAATAACACAAGATCTTTTGACTGATCTCTGGTTGTTGAATGATAAAACATTTCCAGCATTCTGGACGATTTGGAGATTTGCAGTTTGAAACGGCTAATAGCGGGAAATGCTCGCCGTCCTATTATTCGTGATGACCTTCAAATTGTGCAGGACAGAACATTAGACAGTTGCTGTGTGTTTTCCTATAATGTACAGAAATGTACCAGTTAGTGATCTGCAGAGTATAATATAAGGAAATAGGGCTATCTCCGACTACTTTGCTGAATCCTTTGTCACATTCTTTTGTATGAAATATTCAATAAAAAGTCACAAGAGAAAAGAAATCCACAAGCAGTCATGTCAGAATGATGCCTCCAGGTCTGGCAATATGCATGTGTTGTGTGCGGGATTGAAAATACGAGGAGAAAAGATTGTCCAGTGGATGACGGCTAACGATTTCTAGTCCTTCAGATAGATGTTTCTGATGCCATTGGTCTGTCGCATGGACTGTTTTGCTAAAGATGCGCAATACCTGCATTGGACGAACAGCCGTTGAAGGAAACCAGTACAGAAATACATTGGATGACGTTGCAGGCCTCCTTCAGGGTTCATTTACATCTCTACAGTCTGATGCCGTGTGTTAAGGTCGTTCATTTATTATGAATTGGCTGTTTACACTTCTCAATGGCCTAATAACAGACATGACAATGCATTGATACAGGTTGTGGTAACGCATGTAACCTGAGATCAGGGGTAGGCAAACTGCCCTTTTAGCTGGGGTTAAACTACAAATCTCATAATGCATCTGCCTCTGGTAGTCATGCCTGTGGCTGTCAGAGGCTTGCAATGCCTCATGGGATTTGTAGCTGGGGGGGGCGGAGTTTGCTTACCCCTGCCTTGGAGATGTGAATGAGCCCTCAGAGAAGGTGGTTGTAATTTTGGTTCGGCACTATGAGTCCCTAACGCAGGTATGTGAATCCGATGTAATGAGCTCACTGGCTGCATACTTGTATTGGGTCACTGTGAACGTTTTGCTAGCCAGGAAACTACTTTTCAAGAGGCGGCCCACAATAGCAGCCTTCATATATCGCTCAGTAACGGTTTCCTTTAAGACTAGCTTATGTGTATTGGTATTATCATTTTTGACACGCTAATGAAGAGATGGATACAATGAAAATGTGGGAGGAGCCATCTTGTGTTTAAAAAAAATCTTTACATATATACATTTTTACATGATACACGTGAGAAAGCAAATATAATATCTACATATAATTTTTATTTTGTTGATGGTGTCCTTTTTAATATCTATGGATTCATCTGGTGAAGCAGTGCAGTACAGTGCAAAGACCAGTAACAGGAAAGTGGAGTCAGACCAGTCAAAATATTTGGTTGCCGTGGGTTACTGCATTTGTCATTTTATCTTTTGCTTTATCATATAGCCCTCTAGTGTACACTTTGTTTTCTTTCTACATTCTACACATTCTTGGAGCTTCCTTTTTAAAGGGTTTTGTAGATCCTGCACTGAAAATATGGACAAGAAACTAGTACCTTTTGTTGCCCAGCGAACATGCACATTGAGCTCTTGCAGCAACCAAGGGCTTTACTGTATCAGTCTGCCATTCAGTGTACATTAAACATGAACCTCATGCCACTTTGTGTTCCTCACACATACCAGTGAGCCTCAGTACAGGAGCAGACCGCCGTTTCACAGTCATGTTTGTAGCAGTGTAACATTTGCGCTCCCTATACTAGTGACAGGGATGGTACTTCAGAAGACCATGGCAATCATTTCTTTCTGCTCCTTCATAGCCAGTCATGCAATAGTTTCCTATCTGGGTTTAAGGTTTTATTTTCCTCAAGGTTGGCAAAACGCTGAACGCATTGTGGTATGAAGCGCATTGCATATCCATCGCACTGAAAATGTTCTTCATTCCTGGGCTGAAATTGTGTTTTACATTTTTCTCCCTCGATTGGTTGTATTGTTCTGGTTTCATGTACACCAAGAGTAACTTTTTTTTTTCTTGTGAACTTATTTAACACAAAATAAAGAGGCAAAAAAAGAAAACCTTTCGGACTTTTCTTGCACTTCTTTTACAGCCAATATTGAGTCATATGCTGCAGTTCTTGGATCAGTTGTGGCCAGCTTACTTGGTGCAGGGAGTTTCAAGCGCGGCCACTGATGTCACCAAAGGGTTGCACATTATATTCAGTAAATGCAATGCCATAGGAAGCTGTTCGGAAGCTTTGGACATATAACAGGAGATGGTCAGAGACTACAAACTTGCTATAGGGGTTGCTGAAGATTGGGGACATGCTTGAGGGGACAGTCATGGCCTAAATAGTATAGATGTCCTGCAGCACTCCTTACCGGAAATCACAAAGCGTTAATGGGTGCTTGAAATAGAGATGTCATCAGCACACCAAAACCCGTCGGTGCAAATCCATTTATTGATGGATGTCACTCAAAATGTGAAGCGCTTTTTCGAGACCACACAGACCCACAGGGACCCTGTGTGGCCCCCGAAAGCGCTTGACATTTTGAGTGACATCTATCAATGGATTTGCACTGACTTGGATTTTGGTGTGCTGGTGACATCTCTTTCAAGTCATGGCATAAATACACACTACATGAGGCAGCTGGATAGCTGCTATTACAGCCACGTTTGTGCTCCCCACAGACTTCTTAAAATGTATTTGTGCCACGTTTAAGATTTCTCTCAGCAAGGTCCATAATACAAATCGGGGAAAAACAAAAGGACGGACAGCACAGAAAAAATGTAAGAATACTGTGAAAGAGATGAAGTAATATAAGGCTCTCTAAAGAATATTATTCTTTCATTGGCATGAGTAAGTATTAAACTGACCACTTTCTGTAGGGCCACACAGTAAGTTCCAAAGGGCAGCTGGTTGGGCATCAGGACCTTGGATACAGCCCTTGTACAAGATGCATGATATGCTTTTACAGCATTGAGCCGGCATTCACACTAGTGTCATTTATTTATTGTTAATGGCACCCACGTGCTTAACTAGATAACCTGTATATACCAGTTAGAGCAGTGATCATCAACCTGCATTACCGCAGGACCCACATTTGGCCTAGGCTAAGTTGTGACCCAAGTTGCACCGCACTGGAATGCACGGTATTGCGGTACCACGCGTTTTGGTGCGGATGATCAAACTGGGTGGGAGGTGCGTTTGGTGTGCCATTCAAATAATGGACTGTGTTCATGTGTGTATTGCTTGTACAGCTCCCTCGCTGCCATACCCCCCAGTCCTCCTCACCTCAAGCTGACACTCTGTGCCAGGCAACATACTTTGAATGGCTCCTCAGCTAGGGGGAGACTGAGGAACCTCTCGCCTAGCGCAGTGGAAGGCATGTGGCGAACCACTGAACATGGGGTTGTGACCCACTTTTAAGGTACCCACTTACACAAGATGCCATATATAAACCAAATTTTATTGCCTTAATACTAATATCCTCTTATAAAATCCATGAACATAAAAAAAAAAAAACACGTACAACGTAAGATATTTATTGTTGGTCCTATGCACATCTAAACATGTCAGCTCAATCCCGTATGAGTTAAAGCTTTTCATTCACCTAGTAAATCAGACCATTTACTGTTGTGCTAATCTTGCACTAAACTGAATGCCAACATATTCTTAGATGGGATATGCTTTATGCATTTTGCGAAACAGGCTGCTTCATCAGAAGATCCTAAAATGGAGGCATTGGATAAATCCACATTACCACCACATTTCAATACTGCGCTCATTCCAATATTGGCACAAATATCGCTAATTCAATACCACCACCTATGCCCATATAATGAATAAGAAAATATGGCTGATACCTTGGTTAGCTGTAGTTGTCGGCAATATACTAAGCTTTATTTCTATCACTAAAATATATGTATCTCTATAATAGGTTTTCATGGCTTCTATATCTAACCCTAAGGAATTGCATTTACTATAGCTGTGTACCCGACAACTACAGTTAACTAAAGTATCAGCCATATTTTCTTATTATATAGGCACAGGTGCTGGTATTATATTCGCGATATTTGTGCTAATGTTGGAATAAGCTTAGTATTGAAAATATTATATGCCTTACATGATTTCCATACAATGTGTCTATATAGGTCACAATATACACTATATTTCCAAAAGTATTGGGGCGTCTGCCTTCACATGCACATAAAATTAATTCTTGGTCTTGGTCCATAAGGTTCAATATTGAGTTGGCCCACCCTTTGCAGCTATAACAGCTTCAACTCTTCTGGGAAGGTGTCCACAAGGATTAGGAGTGTGTCTATGGGAATGTTTGACCATTCTTCAGAAGTGCATTTGTGAGGTCAGGTACTGATGTTGGATGAGAAGGCCGGGCTCGCAGTCTCTGCTCTAATTCATTCCAAAGGTGTTCTATGGGGTTGAAATCAGGACTCCGTGTAGGCCAGTCAAGTTCCTCCACCCCAAACTCGCTCATCCACTGGTGCGCAGTCATGTTGGAACAGGAAGGGGCCATCCCCAAACTGTTCCCACAAAGTTGGAAGTATGAAATTGTCAAAAATGTCTTGGTATGCCGATGTCTTAAGAGTTCCCTTCACTGTAACTAAGGGGCCAAGCCCAACTCCTGAGAAAAAAAAAAACCCCCACACCATAATCCCCCCTCCACCAAACTTTACACTTGGCACAATGCCGTCAGGCAAGTACTGTTTTCCTGGCAACCGCCAAACCCAGACACGTCCATCGGATTGCCAGACAGAGAAGCGTGATTCATGGCCGAGTTGCTGTTGCTCCCAGTTGCTTCCACTTTGTTATAACACCACTAACAGGTGACCGTGGAATATTTAGTAGCAAGGAAATTTCACGGATGGACTTATTGCACAGGTAACAACCTATCACCGTACCACGCTTGAATTCGCTGAGCTCCTGAGAGCGACCTATTTCACAAATGTTTGTAGAAGCGTCTGCATGCTGAGGTGCTTGACTTTATACACCTGTGGCCATGGAGGTGATTGGAACACCTGAATCCAATGATTTGGTAATATACAGTATGCACTCTCCTTATCCATACCTACCTCAGTGTGTGGTGGCCTTATACCATCAAAGATACTAATAGCACTATTTGTATCCTAGTACATTAGGTTATTAGGCACCAAGCAAGATGTGCAAAAAAGGGAGGTTAAAAAAATGCTCCAAGCGCAAGAAGGTAAAAGAGCTTATTCGCTGTACGTGGGGTAGCCCCTTGGAATGAATGGGCTGTCTTGAACCTGAAAAACACACATTGCAAGTGTGAATGTGTGCTGCAATGACCGTGTACCAAACTATGCACTCAAGTATTTGCACATTCTGAAAAAGTGTGTGTGCTGAAATGACCGATCTGTCACCTGCTCACTGTTGAAGTGGACCACCAAAAATCAGACTGGCTCATCCGATCCCTAGGCAGAGATCACATGACCAAATGCCTAACCTCTTGGTCACATAACGAGCAATGACACTTAAAGCAGCATTTTCTCTAGCAAAGGTACAGTATGTCACCCCTTCAGTTACTCTTTGTTTATCCATCTCAGCAAGACTGTAACCACATCTGCCAGGAGAGAAATACATAGGTTGCCAGTGCTGATCTAGTTCTGAAAATGCTAATTACCTGACCGCTTTGTTTACTACGTTGCATCCATCATGAGCTGGACATGTGAACCTCTACTTTCCTCGTGGCATCCTGCATTTGTCTTCATGTGCTCCCCTGTCACCTAGATCTGCCAAAGCCCCAATAAAACTCCTGTGTAAGCTTACAATCCTACCCAGGGCAGTGCACATTCCCCTAGTTCAGGATGCCTACTGTACCTCGAATAACGTGGCCCTATTACTTTTTGTGACATGAGCAAAGTGAGGCTCACCCTAAAATCAGAGTGAAGTTGGAACTGTTCTACATACATGTTCTGGGTCAGTAACTCAGAAAGCACTCAAATCATTGGATCAGGGTGGAAACAAGGAAAGGGATTTTTTCTTCAATTATTTATATTAGTTATTAAAAAGTTTCAATTATAAAACAGAAGGAAATATGTTAAGAAATAAAAAAAAAAAACGGGGAACCCAGTGCAAACGCATTCCTAGACGACCTGATTCTGGGTCAGGGTTTCGTACGTAGCAGAGCAGCTACCTCACTGCAATCTATTGAAAGTCATCCCTTGAGCCAAGCTTTTGAAAAAATAAAAAAACAGAAAAAAAAATGTAAGGTAATAACAAGGAAGGCAGAGTTCAATAATCAGACGTATATCACAGTACATACAAAGGTCAATATAATGGCGACATACAGTGACGTCAAGTAAGGCTGGACAAGGGCATAAACAATGCAACCAAAATACACAGTATATTCAGTATAAAGTATACATTAAGGGAAGGAAAGAAAAAAAATGATATCCCTGAGATTGATTGCTTTAATAGCCAAGAAAGGGGGGCCATCTGTATTACCAGAAGTAACAGTATGTAAAACTAGGTGAGGTAGCCAAGAAAAGGGGGCCATCTAAATGGTATTACCAGAAGTAACAGTATGTAAAACTAGGTGAGGTAGCCAAGAAAGGGGGGCCATCTGTATTACCAGAAGTAACAGTATGTAAAACTAGGTGAGGTAGCCAAGAAAAGGGGGCCATCGGTATTACCAGAAGTAACAGTATGTAAAACTAGGTGAGGTAGCCAAGAAAAGGGGGCCATCTAAATGGTATTACCAGAAGTAACAGTATGTAAAACTAGGTGAGGTAGCCAAGAAAGGGGGGCCATCTGTATTACCAGAAGTAACAGTATGTAAAACTAGGTGAGGTAGCCAAGAAAGGGGGGCCATCTGTATTACCAGAAGTAACAGTATGTAAAACTAGGTGAGGTAGCTATGAAAAAGGGGCCATCTAAATGGTATTAACAGAAGTAACAGTATGTAAAACCAGGTGAGCACAAAACAGTGCAATCAGTGGACATGTGAAAGGTGATAGAAAGTGTACGGTAGGTAAAAAGAACAAAAAAATGACAAGTATACCTAAGGTTGATACTGTTGTTAAACTATAAAAAGGGCTATCTAGATAGTAAGACTAGGGGTAATTTTGAGGAACAAGAGAAAGGAAAAGAAGAAAAAAAGAATTAAATAAAAAAAGAAGAATGGGGGGAGGGGGTAGGAACCACCATTATCACTGGGGCACCAGAGAAACCCCAACCCGATCTCCAACTAGCAACTCATCCAGAAAAGGAGAGGAGAACTGTTCTAATAGAGCTTGACCTTCAGGAGAATCCATGAACTCTATCCAATAATACCAAGTTTTGAGATATAATTTGTGTCTATGTTGGGAGGACAAAATCAAGTCTTCAATTACCCTAATCTGCTCCACTCGTTGTATCCACATAGACAATGTAGGAGGGAAGGGGCTTCTCCAGATTCTTGGAATGCAGGCTTTAGCAGCATCTATCAGGTGGCAAGGACCGATCTTGAGTAGGCTTTCCTAGACATGTGCGTGTTATGTAATAGGTAAAGAGATGGGTCAGTGGGCACATTGGAATCTGAATTTCCTCACAATAGTACGGACCAAAGACCAGAAGTGTGTCAAAACCGGACAGGTCCAAAAAGATATGGAGTAAGGTGCCCTCCTCCTTGTTACATCTCCAGCAAGTATTGGCCACTCCACGATAATATCTATGTAGAAGCGATGGAGTTCGGTACCATCTAGTGAGAAGCTTGTAATTAATTTCCTGATGTTTTGTGCACATAGAGGAATTCAGGGTAAAATGGAGAATAGTCTGGCATTGAGCATCTGAAAATGCACTATTAAGCTCCTGTTCCCAGCAAGTCAGAAAAGCCGGTCACACTGATTGAGATGAAGAGGACAGAATAGACTATATACCCGAAAGGGAATGTCTGACAAGTCCCTGAGAGTCACAAAGCTTCTCAAAAGGTGTAGTTGGACCTTTAAAACTTGCAGCTTAAGGTACGGACAGCAGGAAGTGTGGCAAATTGATTGCTTTCCAAAAGTCCAAGCCAAAAGTTACCATCTGGATCCGTCAGGGCCATCAAAGAGGGCCATGAATCCCCTTGGAGAAAGTGGGAAACCTGAAAGATCTTTTTAGTGAGTAAGGAATGGAAAGACCCCGGTAGAAGTCCTGGTAAAAAATGAGGGTTACCTATAACCGGATAAAGCGGGGAGGTATCTCCCGCAAAATGGCAGCAAGAGAAGGCCCTTGCACAAATGGAGAGAGTAGTTCCAATCAAAGGGTGGTTTCTGAGCAAGTGTGGAAGGGATGAGAAACACCAAGCTGCTCGGGGGAGGTTGACAGGGCGAGATTGAGTCCTCCAAGGACACCCACTGTTTAAAGGAGGAATGTCTGCACCAATCGACCAGGCGGACTAGATGTCCTGCAACATAGTACATCCAGAAATAGGGTAGAGCCATCTCGCCCGAGGATTTATGAAGAGTTAAAAGGGTGTGACGTAAACGAGGGCAACGGTCAGCCCAGATAAACTTTGTCACTAGAGAGTTGACTTGACAGGAGAATTGATCTGGAATGTGGACGGGAAGTGCTTGAAATAGGTAAAGAAACTTAGGGAGGATAGACATTTTGATATATTACACCGCACTAACCAAGAAAAGAAACCTGATTTCCACTTTGAGAGAAGAGCATGGATCTGTGGTAGGAGAGGGGGGAAGTTACAAGCAAAGACATCCTTCAAATCAGAAGGTATCAGAGTACCTAAATATTGCAGTGCTTGACCAACCCAATGAAATTGAAAGTTGTCCTGTAGGTTGCAGGCAATAGGGGTAGGTAGTGAAATACCCATAGCTACAAATTTGCCAAAATTGATCTTCAAATTAGACAGTTCACCGGAGCAGGAAAATTATTTCATGAGATTAGGTAACGAAAGTTGAGGGTTAGTGAGGGAGAACATCAAGTCATCTGCATATGCAGAAACCTTATATTCCGTAGGCCCAACTTTAACTCCAATTACATCTACATTGTTCTGGATATGCCATAAAAAGGGTTCTAGGGATAGGGCAAACAGGAGAGGTGGTAGAGGGCAGCCCTGCCTCGTGCCATTTGTGATTGGAAAGAGGTCAGAAAGGACTCCATTGACATTAGCATAAGCAGTGGGTGCCGAATAGACCGCAGAGATCCAAGATAACATAGTAGAGCCCAAGCCAATAGGGTGGCAAACATAAAATCCCAAGAAACCCTATCAAAAGGCTTTTTGGCATGCGTAGAGAGAAAAAGACAGGGAATCTTAGAGGCAGTGGCATGATGGACGAGATGAAGAATTTTAATGGTATTATCACAGGTTTCCCGGACAGGAATGAAGCCCACCTATAATGTATCAGGCCCGACATGAGGGAACTCAATCTGGCCCCCAGGATCTTAGTAAATAATTTAGGATTGGTGTTTAAGAGAGGAATAGGGCGGTAGCTGCCGCAACAAGAGGGGTCCTTACCCTCTTTCGGGATTACGGTGATTTGGGCCGATAGTGAATCCCAGGTAAGACGAGAAGAAGAGGACAGAGCATTAAAAGCTCCAGTAAAATAAGAAGATACACCTGGAGCAGAAAGCTTATAGTACTGGATCGTGTAACCATCAGGTCCCGGAGCTTTTCCGAACTTAGTAGACGCAAGAGCTTCCAGAAACTTGTCCAACGTGATGGGAGATTCCAAAGTAGTGCAGGCAGGTGCCTCCAAGGAGGGCATGTTGCTTGTGGTCAGGTATGAAGAGATTCTTTAAAGGAAAGAGTCCCGAGAAGCTTGGCCAGGCAGAGAGCCCAAATTGTATGGCTTAGAGTAGTATTCTTGGAATGCATTGGCAATGGCCTTCGGGAGCGTAACTTTGGTACCCGGAGTCGTAACGATCTGGAAACTAGAATTTTTATTTAACATGTGTATAAAGATTCATTAAAGGAAACTCTTACTGACAAAATGCATAGGCAGCAATTGCTGAACTCATATTAAACATGGTAGTTGCCTGGGTTATGTCAAGTCATTGACCCAGAACAAGTATGTTGATCAGCAGTTCTGTATTTTCTCTGATCTGACTTCAGTAGCTGTGTGCTTGTTCCACATCAGTTACACAAAATCAGGCACCTAACATTTTCAAGAGGTCGCCAGTGGATGTGGCTGTATTTCAGTACAGGTTGTCTTTAAGTATGTGCTCAAGAAAAAAAACGTTTTTTCTTCGAAGAAAACTTATACTGAGTTTACTAAGATACCTTGACTTAGGCCATAACTTCAACCCAATCACCCGCCAGCCTTCTATAGGCAAAAACACAAATGTATAGCCAAGAGTTTATTAATGCAACCAGCAGCTAATAGCTTTACCTGGATGTCTGACCATCCTCCAGAGCATCTAGGGAGCTGAGCTATTATGTATAGTTTATACTTAGGGCAGGGCCTAAAGGAACCAAATTAGGTGACATGCCATACCCAATGAGTGGCTCTAATTTTCATCCTTTGAAGCTGGCTGCTGGTATCATTAGAAGGTAAAGCCTCCCTGCAAAAGATGACTGTCATACTTCTCTGGTGGCCTGTGTGCCCTACCAGAGACAGTCAGATATATTATCAGAAGAAGGTTTGCAATGGCCTCCATTTTTATTTTGGTACAGGTTTCTTTTAATGATGACTCAAACAGTATATGAAAAAGTTCCTCTAAAGTGTAACGTTACAAATGATAATTTAAAGAGAAATCATTTAGAAATCCTTAATGACAAATGCCCTTGTTGCCTCTTCCTAATACTACCACCACCATCATACAAATAACTAATCAGCCCTCAAGGTGGTAATTATGGATTAATTACCATGACTACGTTTCATGAAGCACTAATCTCGGTTTATCCTGCTTTCATGATTCATTAGGGATGAGGCTGGAAGCAATGACCTGCTAGACTTGTGTACAGGCATAGGTAGAGAACTTCATATACATATCATCTGGGGGAAAAAACCCCACTCCTTACTCTGATTATATAGTCAGCAATAGTGAAATGTATGTTAAAGTACTCCCAAAAGAATTGCCTGGAATCCGGCTTTATGTTATCTTCCTATAATGTCCTGGAAGAAATAAAACAGATCAAGAGTGGGAGGCTATGCTTTATGAGCCAATCATATTCAGCTGTTAATTTGACATGTTTTCAGGCACTAGGAGCTGGAGGAGGAGGTGTATAAGCAGCTTATAGGGCAGAAGGACATAGAAGTCCTTAGTGGCATGATGATGCT